ACAAATCATCTCCGTTCAGAATCGTTTTTCGTATACAATGATGCCTATCATTGCATTCAAATCTAACCTACCCTAGTCAGAGGTCCACCCCACCACCTAATGTACAGCAGAGCGATACCCACTTTCCCGCTTTTTTATTATTAGATTAGGACGCATTTATTGATTAAATTCATAACACAATTAAATACAATAAAACAAATTCATTCAACAAATATTGCATACACGGAGATCTGGGATTGTGAAAGGAATCGAAATTAGGACACATAAATCGTTGGTCTCGGGGTAAATAAACGAACAATGTAAATAAATTGTTTATCGTTAACGCCATATTTGTAACTCGTGTGTTGTTGACTGTTGTTTTGTTGTTATTATATTAAAGCCAATGGAAAAAAGGTGATAATGATTGTGTCATACATACTTCTATATTGGTAAACAGTTATGGCAGAAAGATTAGTAAACAATTTATATTTAATCGCCAAATAAAATAATTTATACTATGCGCATCGTGCATGACACATTAAAAACAAAACGATAATTTAATTAAGGCAATACAGAAACCTAGCAATAAGAGTTAAGACTATCATCAATACTGAAACCAATGTTAAAAATTTTAAATTTAGACATATTATTATAAATTATAAAAGTATTAAATATAAATTGTTTACTAATCTTTCTGCCATAACTGTTTACCAATATAGAAGTATGTATGACACATTAAAAACAAAACGATAATTTAATTAAGGCAATACAGAAACCTAGCAATAAGAGTTAAGACTATCATCAATACTGAAACCAATGTTAAAAATTTTAAATTTAGACATATTATTATAAATTATAAAAGTATTAAATAAAATAGTACCTACTCAGTAAATATTTATATAATATTACCCATATTTTAAGTACTAATTATTATTATTTATGAGTATAATTATTAATTACATTGAATATTATTATTATTTATTATTATTGTCATAAATCACATTGAACAAYAAATTATTATGTAACATTCATAACTGCATAAGCATAACTATATCCTATTCTGTATTTTCTTATCATATCACTAATGATATTATAATATTTGCTATAAATTATAATCTACTATTGCTATTGACATAACACATAATGAGATATTATAGTACCTTCATCACGATTTATTTGTAGTGCTCGATTTACCAAGAAAGTAGCTTGGTACTCTATGTGAATTTAGAATTATGAATAATTGCAAACAATACAAAATTTGTTATTTTATATTATTATGTAGACTCAATATTTTACCAGACACCAACCTCAACGTTAAAAATCAAAGCATTTTGTCTACTCCTTTCGTGTATGGACTATACAATATACAGACTAAATAACGTTTTAAAAAAAAATACATATCACTGTAAAATCAATACATTCATCGCTCTGCTCAGAATCTTAAAGCAGCCAAATCCCCCTCCCCATACCATGTCAAAATAATTTGACCATCACTGTTATAGAAAACATAGGTAGGTATATAATATCATTATATATTTTTGCACGAGTAAATCGTAGGTATTTTATGAAAAGGTTAAATTAAAATTGTTATAGGTACTTACCAAAGTCAATATCAGTGAAGGTTTTAATGCATTCAGTGTTTCACCAAGCTAATAAAACATATCAGATAAACAAATTATTACAATATAATAAACAACTATGAAAATTACTGTGTGCGCTTTAAATGTTGAAATAAAAAATATATATGGGTGCATAACGAAATTATCAGTGCGAACAATATGAGTTTTTTTTTGTCTATAATTGCTTTTACTCTTTAAAACAATTTAATCACATTACATTACAATAGGTTATTAAATATATATTAATTTTATAACTTTGTTATACCGATAAAATAATTAATACATTGATTAAATATTAATTTTACAACAATTTATATTTATATATAAATGTATAAATACTTTGATATTTTGTTTCTTAAGATTCGAATAAATAATAAATGCTTACATTTTAAACATAACATTGTTTCATTATATTATAASATCAATAGTATAATAATATCGAAGATCAAAGCTTAAATAATATTATTATCGAATATTATGAACACGACTGGAATCAGTAATATTGTTAAATATGAATATGATTCAATCTTATTATAGGAACGTAATATTTAAAATTACATAGATACATTAGGATTTAAGATTGTAGCTTAGGCGTGCGCAAACTCCTGTTTCAGAAGTGACTTTTATTTATTTTGACCACCCACYCCCAAAACTTCTCTAAAAAAATAAAACTTAAATAGACCTAAAAACATAGGTGTAGCGCCAGCCACAATGATTTTTATGAAAAATGTATAATCAAAATTCTGATTATCMAAAAAAATGTGCTATTGGCTTTTTTGTAGGTACCTAATTACCCGGTACCTATACCTTCATAAAAAAATACCCTGTCACAGGTGTGGTTAAAGCCCTAAAGCCACACCCTAGAACATGGCTGTGATTTGAGCAACCAGATTATTTTTTACATTTCAAATATTTTAAAATTTCARGTTAGTGTTTATACTATATTATTTATTTTAAGCATTTGGGATTATGCTATAGTAATATTACAGTTGATCTCCTGCTATTATTAATTAGTTTATACTTAACATGTCTATTCAATGTAAACAATTTAGTATTTACTACAATTTTTTAAAAGTAWAAATCATATTTCAGACTAAATAGTTAATAACATGAACTCATATATAATTTCTAAAGTAACAATAAATGTATATAATGTTCTAATTTTTTATAGTAGACAATTGTCATGACAATGACATAAAATCTATACAACGACACAATAGTGCAATAAAAAACGGCTCATACATAGGAACCCGTTGTAAGTTATAACATATTGTAACTATTATAGGAAAAACAAGGATATATCCTAATGTAGACACTATTGTGACTTGGGGCGGAAGTATGGTATCTCCCGATTGTATGGTAAAGTCTCCCGATTTTTAAAACTAGTAAACTCTCCCGGGTCAATATTATGTTTACCTGAAAGAGATGTGTAAACTCTCCTGGGTCAATATTATGTTTACCTGAAAGAAATGTGCAAACTCTCCCGAGTTATTTTAAATGTTATTGCTACTCTATGAATTGKCWACACTGCAGAGATTGTGATTATAATTTTTATTATGAATTGTATTACTGTATTTATTTTGTGTTAACCTGTATTTGTCATTTAAATATTTAATTACCGTTAGAGTATTTTTAATTAAAATATTTAAAACAATATCGACTATAATGGCTCAACCAATTTTAACTGTGTAAAAAGAATAATACCCCATGCTCCCCAGCTAGCTTAGTAGTATTGAAGTAGACCGGGAGTTACCCGTTTCCGCCAAAARTGTACCTTTCCCTTTTCCCCCAATTCTCTTTTCCGCCAAATCTAAAAAGTAAGTCTAGAATTTGAATAATGTTTGAATATTATATATAAAATATACATGTCTGTAATTATCTATTAAAGATTGAAAAATTATAATATATTATATACATTACATAAATAACTGAAAAACTATTAGGTTGGTATCTAAATAAACATTATTAGCCATTAAGTATTGTGTTGTAGCATTATCATATACAAACAAACAACATTCAAATTATAAATATTGTTATATATTATCTATATTACTACGTATATACTATAGTTGTATGATATTACTTTAAMTTTAAAGTTAGTCTAGTATTTGAATAATGTTTGAATATTATATATACAGTATAGGTACATGTCAATCATATTATAATTTTACTATATTATTACTACTATATTACTACTTATACTTTACTGAGCTTACTCTGCTTACTTATAGTATAATTCCCCGAAACTACCATTGATTATATTATTATAATTATTATTTTAGTCATTGTCATTCAGCGTTGCTTGTCGAACAAAAGCACGACACAATTGGGCATCTGTCCTAGARTATAACATTAGCATGATGCCMTGATGCCATGATGTATAGAGGTGCTATTTTCGTATGTCGATCGTCAATGCGTTTCTAACGCGTCTATCCTAATAAGCATAGGTACTGTGTGGCACTGTTGCAGTTAATCATAAAAAAACAAACTGGAAAAAAGTCAGGAAAGTGACCACTTTAAACCTTCCTCTTCTTAAAGCCAATTCAGACACTATCCTTCAACTCTATTTTCAAAATATTAAAATTCCAATTTTAAGAACAATGCTTATACCTAATAGGCTTTATATTCGATTATAAACTAAACTAGATTACACATAAAAAAAAAWAATAATTAAAGCACTTATAAGAATAAAATGAATATCATCAAAACTCTCGCGCACTAGTAATGATGAACGTGTAAATAATAAATATWTATAAATATTTGTATCCTAAATCAACTATATAACACAAATTTACAACAGAGCTAAAAACAGAAAGTAGATATCTCTAATTCTTAGACCCAATGCATGGCGCAAGGCAACAAGCACTGAAAAAAGCATTCTAAGTTTAATTGTATGCTTAGTACCGGCCGTCCAACTTAAAAGTTATAATACACAAAAATATGCTATACAGTGACATTAAAAGGAAATTGAGTATTAAGTTCAATCTTTTTCTAATTTAACTATAATCATTTTTATATTTTTCCAATAAAAATATATTGCCTATGTAAGAAGATCCTAATAACCTATATAGAGTTTCACGGAAGTGCATTGGCCATTGGGACTACTATTTTTTTATAATAGTTTAATCCAGTCAGGAGGTGATTCAGCTGATGTTCTTACTTTCAACAAAAATAAAGAAACTTATAGTTTTTATAATGATTATTATTTATTACCGTGTCAGCATATGACGCGTAGTTGACCTTATAGCGACATTTGTATTCATCTAAGGACAACGGTTTACCCAGCCATACTGTGTGCGCCTCTTCGACTCTCGGGAAAAACAAATGCGCTTCGCCGCTGGATACATGTATCAAACCATAACAATCAGGTTCACTGACCCCGAAAGCCCAATGAAAGTAGGGTTCCTAAAATAAACATAAAGGTGTTATTCAAACGGAAAATGATATTAATATGTTAATATAGGTATAATTAATAATTTTTATCAAATGTGTACGGAGGATAGAGGCATACTTACAGTTAAAATCTCAAATTGACGTCTTTATTTTTTATTTACTAAATTTTAATCTTTAAATAATTTTTGTAAAAATTTACACTAAAACTTAATATTTGATTAGGAATATCTTGAAATATTGAAATGAAATTATAACTTACCTAAAATAAGAAATACATTCAATAACTCCGAAAAAACACGAAAACGCTATAGTCTAGTCCTATGAAAAATAAGTAAATCAAAAATAAAGGACACCGATTTTTAAAAGGCTTGTCGTGAATTTACGTGAATAAATTAACAATATTAATTTTTGTTTCAAAGTTAAAAGCCCGTATTTAATTTAAAATAATACTTATTGTTATATAATATTTATTGTAACTAAAATGTAAATGAGAAGAATGTAGATAATCATATTATTATTTATAATATTTAATTTTTAATATACAAACCAATATTTAAAAGAATGTTGCTTTTTTCTTTAATACCTATGTTAAATGTACCTAATTTGATAAATTTCGTAAAAAAAAAAAACATCTTAACGTTAAAAACAAAAATGTTTTCTATATATTTTAAACTTATAACATTTTCTAACTTTTTAATCAAAAACAAAAATTTTATCAATGAATATAATAATCAAACAACGATGAAAAAAATATTTTTATAATTCAATAAGCCTCACCTAAAGAGCCATAAAATATTTTGAAAATTGTATCAAGCCTAGAAAATTATCATAATATAGCGATTTAGCGAAAAATCTAAGACCACTCAATAATTCGTTTTKAAATTACAAGTTAAAACAAAAAACAAAATCAAGTTCGTCAAAAACTTTTTTTTACACACCTACAAATTTCCATTTTCCCAATTCCCAAATTTAATTTTTATTCTGTTTATTTTAAAAGTACTGCATAATTTTTACTTTTTATAACCCAAAGTAATATTTAAACTAATTTACTGCCAGAAATCACAATTTTTAGTATTTTAAACGCACATTTTTTAATAACAACTCAATGTCTCTTAGCATATTTAAATATTTAATACACAATTAATAAGTAGTAAGTTTTAACCATATGTATTGTGAGTAAGTTATGACTTATGACTATACGATCTATGAATTTATGAAAAATAATGTGTCCTATAGTTTATAGTAAGTATTGTTTTTGACAAATTATAAATAGATGTTAATGTGCTATTAACTATTTTTTAAATAGTACCTACACACGTATAATATATATTACAATATACATTATACAATTTTTTAATGTGCGTCAGCAAACGTAGTTATTGTGTAACATTAAAATAAAATGAATGTATTAAATAAACAATATTGTTTTTTTTTTWAAATAATTATTGAAACTATATTACCTATATGGCTATATCGATTAGTCTCAAATCCCGCCCATCACTACACGTTTTTAGGCTGATAGCGGTTTATACTGACGTAAACAAAAATTCTACATATAGGTATACCTATATATAAAATATAAATTATAAACCTTGAAATTCCACACGTAGACAACTTCTAATTTAGCCAATTCATAAATGTTTATGTGTATATTCCAACAACCACATATATAATTATAATCATCACCGAATAGAGGCTTTTGTGATTTGTTGTTGTTGTTCCGTTGTTTATATTACAAGTATTAGTATCGTTAAATATTGTATGTATGTATAGCTTCAAATGTATTTATTACATWAATCATAGTAATATAGACTTTACGTTTACAACAGTTTATATTGATGGTATGAAAATACATTAGCTATATCCTATTTCTCTATATATTTTATATACATGGCGTAAGAATATTTAAAGTATTATCAAGCAACATGCAAAGTAGTACTTGGTAGTTCTAGTATCTAATATCTACTCCTCCCTCCACCAACCAACAAAAAAAAATAAATAAAAACTATTAATCTTGTACACCACTCACCAAAACTTCAAATACTAATGACTAATTAAGTACTTTTTAAAAATTTAAAAACTATACAATGCACATAAAAATTAAAACAATAGAAATCGTAAAAAAAAATTAAAATTAAAACATTCAGACTTCTAAGAATAATAATGAATGTTTGCTGTTAAAAAAATCACCTATACGAAATAATTAACATAAATGCTTTTTGCCTATTTGATTAACAATTCGTAATCAGAATTATACAATTTAACAATTTTTTAGAGCCTCAATCTACAATAGCCAAAAACCTATTTTAAAAACAAATTAATACTTTTTATATTGATTTAGAAAATTTATGATTCATATTAATTAAAAATGTAACATCAATCAGTGATAAATGATGATTCATTTTTTTTAACATTAACAATAATCATTAGTTATAACTATAATTTACATACTATACACATACATTTTTAATGTATAAAGGAAAAAAAATCATAGCAATATAAATACTTTTAATAAAATATTTAACCAATTAGATGAACTTTTAACTGTTATAAAATAAAAAGTACTTATTGGAATTTATTCAGGTAATATTTAAGTATGGATTATACACTATACACATAATGCTGACTGCTGAGTTATCCGCTAGCCAAGAATAGTAAGCCAAATTCTTTACAGTTTACCCTACCCACAACCCACCTGACATCTGTCACTTGTCCCATTAAATAAACATCTAGCCAATCAGTCTTGTCRTGTATTTTACTTCAAAATTTATAATTTTTTTTTATTAGCTTTTAGTTATACTATTACAGCTCAACAATTATGTACAAAACATAACTACATTAACAATAAAATATTAAACAAAGATAGTACAAAAATAATAGGTAGTATTTTTATCATGTAGACTATAAAATACAAATTGTTAGGAGCTTTTTTTAAGTTTATCAAAAGTATAAAATAATATAATGATTTATTAATACACAGTAATACAATAAATAAACTCTATGTTATTAGTGCAACTGTCAAAAAGCAAATTTACGGAAATACATAAAATATACAAACATTTCATTGAGGAACAGCAAGTAAGGAAGCTAACCAATGATAGAACATTTAKAACCTTAATTTGAGGGTATTTTGGTTTAAGGCGAGGTTTAAGATTAAGAGTTAACATTTTGAGCATTTTGAATAAGCTCATCTAAACAAAAATTATTTTCATGTTCTAGCATAGTAATAATTCTCTGAACTACATTAAAAAGTTCCAAGGGTATATTATTAAACTGACTCCCACATAATTAGATTATAATAATAATATGCCAATACACAGTGGTGTACTGAGGTRGCTAAGGGGGCTTAAATCCTTCCAACCATTGGTCATTTTTTGGTATCAATCTTTTATAATAATAWGCTAAGTACAAACCATAATAATATATCTGAAAACAATTTCGAAGAAATATTTTGTGTATTATCAATTATTTTTAGAGGTTATTATAGAAATAACAACCTAGCAACTTAATATAAGGTAACGGATATCAAATTCTGTTTTACTTAGTTTAGCTTCCCCTCCACCATTGAAAAATCCTGGATATTCCACTGTCAGTGTATATTGTACCTTACCTAGATATACGAGGTATATCCAGAAAGTAAGTTCCGTTTTCTATTTTTATTTTTGCATGGGAACAATTTAATCATCCGCCCTACAGTCCAGATTTGGCACCCAGTGATTTTCATCTTTTTTTACACATGAAATCATTTATGGGTGGCCAGAACTTCAACGAAGATGATGAKGTGAAAAAGGCTATTAGCGCATGGTTACAATCACAGGCGTCATCTTTCTATGATGAAGGGATACAAAAACTAGTACCTCGATATGATAAGTGCTTAAATAATGGTGGTAACTATGTTGAAAAATAGAGTAATACATGTATTTTATATTCAAATAAAATTTATAATAAAATTTACACATTTACATGTTTTTATTGCCCAACGGAACTTACTTTCTGGACACGCCTCKTATTATTCTTATGCTATCAATATCTAAAATATTTTGGAATTCCTTGAATATATAAAAGTATTTTCTAGTATCTATTATTAAATTTTTAATATGTTGTAATGCGGTACCCATTTTAGATGTTTGTAGAATATTATTTTTAAATATTTAGTGGGGTTATATATATTATATAATTATTTCCTCTGGAAAATTTATAGTGGTTAAGGAAAATGGAATAAATATAAATTTCTCTCAAATCTAATGACAAAAAACATTTTGAATACCATTTATTTATAGATGCTAATTTTAATACTGTTTTGAGAATTGAGATAATTGGGTTAGAGTGAAGCCATTGATTTTAGAATATATTCTAAAATCAATGGTGAAGCATAGATAATATWAATACTTATAAAATCTATGGAGTGGAGAAATAAATAAGAGTGAAATTTCCAGCCTAGTGAACTTTGGGTAGATTGTCAACAGTCTAAAATAGTAAAATATATACAGGTTCTGATGTAGAGCATGATTGGAAAAGAATCAGAGGGCAGAGATTAAAACATATATGGCAAAGGAAAATTGATTGGAAGACTTTTTATTGTGGTTTATTCTATGTTGAGCTCTAAATGCCCACATTGGCCTAGTTATCAATTAGAATATCAGGAATTAAGTTTTTAATAGAACTTAAGATTTTAAAATGGGTGAAATATATCTAATATTTAATAATTTAATATATTACTTTTTGATTTTAGATGAGGATCGCAAGTAATAAGTTTATATATATATRTATAATATTATATCATATTATATTATATCTTTATTTATATATCTTTTATCGAGGATGATACCAAGATACAGCTTGGAAAGCTGTAAATTGAGTAATGGCGTGAAAGCAACATGTATAAACATATCTGTATTTAATTTATTTTATATCAATACAATTGTAGGAACTTTTCTATTTTAGAAGACACCCCTTTTTTTTGGACATATTGAGAGAGACCAAGATATTGGTTTAATCAAACTTAGGCAATTGAACTTAGTTCCAAAGTTATAATTASTACTATTTGAAATATAACAAGTAGTCACTYCTCCCTAGATCAACCGACAACAGCAGCAAAACTTAATGYCCTATGAATCTTAAATTATTATCATCTGAGATTATATTAATATTTTAAATTTTAAATTTTAAACAAACAATAGTTTTTACAGTTAAACCAACAACTTATTAAACTTAATAATATATAGATACAGTGGTGTTCAGACAGGTTAGTAAGACCTGCAACTGCATGTACTCTCRAGGGGGGTTGATGTAAATTACTGCCTTACTGGTATACCAGACAAGGAAATTTATTAATTTATAATATAGACTATAGTCTATAATAACTAACTTCTATTAACCACAGTGATTATCAAGTGAGTTATAGGGTTATAGTTGTGAGTTATAGTTATAGTTATGAGTTAAAGGGATAATTGTGTAAATTGAATATAATTATGGAGTGCAGCAAGAATATATTTTTATTTAATGGTTGGATGGGGTGTTTACTTTTTTACCTGCATATGCTTTTAAAATATCTCTGTAGGCCACTGAGTAGACAATCTCAAATGTTAATTTATTGTAATTTTAGGCAATTAAATCTTGGTTGTTTTGATTCTTATAGTACTAATTATTACTATACTATGGAAAATACTTAATGCTAAAGGAATAAATWAATTAATTAATAACTACCCATTTAAAATAAGATATATAAATGCTGCCACTATAAATCATAATTTAAATAATCTATAAACATCTTAAATATCTAACCAAAAATTATTAGATGAAGAATAGATAAAAAAAATTTTAACATTTAAAAAAAAGTGTATAATAGATTTGAAAACTTACAACCTGTTTAAATTGTTAACCAAATATATTAATAAATTATAAGATATTATTTTATATTTTAATAGTCGAAGGTATGTCAGTTGTATTAATTTAAAATTTACACTTTCAATACTATTAAACCTACACTTAAAATAGTAGAATTAAAAATAAAAAAATAAAATTGTAATTAAAATAATTAAAATAGTAACTACACTTTAAATAGTGTAGGTATAACGTATAAACTGAATGTGTACAGTTTACTCAAATTAAAAAATGATTTTTAAATTGTTAAAATTGGAAACAAATGTACTGAACCACCGTAATAAAATGTTTTGATTTTTTTTCAAAATTTACATGTGCTAACTATTTTAGAACAATGGTGCAAAAAAGAATTTGTTTGGACTTAGTTTCAAAGTTATGGCCTTTGGAAATAAGTAATTTTGCGTTTTTTACGCATAGCCAATAAGCTATAATTTACCACGTTTTTCATACATTTTTTTTTTCTACCTTGGTACTTATGTATTCTAACCTTTTTAAAATGATGGTTTTTAAAATTTGCAAAGAGATTAAGTTAAAGTATGATAAGAAGTAGCTTCCTTTGCCTGCCAGTTCTGGTTTGCACTCACAACACGGTTAATCAGAAACTTCCAAGGCTATAACTTCGAACCTATGTCCGACTCTGAGTGACAAATTTTGTTTGACCCATTGTATTTTAATGATTAATATATTATGCAAGAACAAAAAAAAATTGAAAAATTTGTATACCGTGGTAAAGTGCATTTTAGCCAAATATTGTTGTAAGCAAAGAAACAAAAATTGAAAATATTGAAAAGATACCATAAAAAATTAATTAATTATAATATATGTCAAATAAAATAAGCATACCTGTCTAAATACATAATCTACATCAGTACAATAATGGGATATATTTGAACCACCTTGTAATAGTACATAAGCATCCTTGTCCACAACTTCTTTAAGACGTTTACAAAGTCTTTCTCGATTAAGTTTATAGAGTTCCATGGGCACTGACAATGTATGTTCTCCCAAACTGAATTTTCCATCTTGACTAAAATTATTATAACAATTTATATTCAATATCAAAATATTAATTCCTTTAAATGTGTTTATACAGTCGTTGAAATAAAGAGATTTAAAATTAAATTAAAAACAAAAAATGTTAATACAATATTGTTACCTGATACATGTCATTTTATTGTTCTTTGAAACTAGAGCAGTAAATGGTAAATGAAATCTATATTTTTAATTTTACCTTTTAATATAGCAAATTGCTAGTAATATACATAACTATTAACTAATACCAATTAGCAACTATAGACAGTAAATTATTATTTATTTTTGGTAGGTATTAGGTAATAACTAAATAACTAATAATAGGGTTAACAAATTAAAATGGTAATAAATAACWATTTACCATTTATTTACATATTAACACAATGATAAGTGATAACAGAAGTATCGTCGTATTTAAATCTGTCTTCTGTGATTGTGTCATCGTCACTGATAAGAGATAACAGGTAAAAGATATGACAAACCACAAATGATGATACATTTGTTTAAATAAAAAATAACAACACAATAATACTTTTAGCCTACTATGGTAACCCTTTATTTTATGTATTTGTGGAACCAAAAATTATACATTTGTTTATTATTATTAAAAAAAAATGAAATATCGAAATTATAATTTATTTAAATTAAATTAAAGAATTAAACTTAAATAAAATACAATTTAACATTATCTAGTTACTCCTTTACYATTACTTTCACTTATATCTTAAAATTTGTTGAAAACAATGTCTATAAACTATTAATTAGATGTACCACACACATTACTCAATATTGTGATTTTGAGCAMACCTATTTGTCACATGTTTTAATTTTTTTTAATGTTTATTGCTACACTTCATTCAGAACTTAGGAAAAATAAAAAAATTAKATTATTGTAATTTTCAGGAGTGTATTTTGTGTACACTATACATTTATAATGAATGTTTTTATTTTTCTAAACTTTGAACTACTCTCAATATTCAATAATATAGTAAGAACTTATTTCAATAAAAACTTAAATCAGATAATAATTTTAAGATTTAATTATGTACCTTTAACCTGCAATAAATGGTATTAATTTAACACCCTTTTGACGTCATACCAGAATAATTCTGTGATCATAACACCTAATTTTTACTTTTTTTAATCACAATAAAGCTTTTAATAATTGCATTCAATTAATTTGATTTAATATTTAGTTCAATCATAATGCCTATCAATCTTTCATTTAAAAATACCTTTATTGGCCATTCTTTTTTTTTTTTGTCTTTTGAAGTAATGAATCCTATTGAAAATTATACCTATACATGTTTCAAGTTACAAAAACAGAAATTATACTTAATAGAAGCCATGATAATTATTTTAACTTAACCTAATTTATTATTGCAATACCCAATTAAATATATATAGAATATAGTTACAATCACAAACTAAATGAAAATATAATAGAAATATTTATTTTCATTTGAAAGTCAGTGATACTATAGTATAAGAGCATAGGAACATATTAATATACTGTTAGTATATAAATTTATTTTTGGTGGCCATCTTCAGATTAGTATTTTGATTAATATTGATATTAACACTATTAAAGCCACTTATATAGAAAGAATACAAGAGAGGTCAATTTTTATCAAAAATAAATACATGTACATCATACTTAAAATTGTTTTATTCCCTAGTATGTAATTTTATAATTTTAAATCAACCAAATACATCTAAAGATGTGATTTTTCTAAAACAGTACAAATATAAGTTATAACTATATATATATATAAGTATTTCGTTATAGTATTTAGGTAGTTTTGTAGATACGACGATTAAAAGGAAAGTATTAATAGTAAGTCTTACAAATTTTTCTCCTTTAATAAGCCGTAATTTAAACTCATCTCTAGTAATATTTATTAGGTACCCAAAAGTAGGTATTGTAATTTGTAAGCTGAAACTAACGCCTCCACTAGTCTTCAGAAAAAAACATAAATATTAAACTCTGTTTAATCATTTGATCATAGTTTAAACAACTTAATAGGTATTTCTAGTATTTAGAAAAATAAATAATACAAAAAACACTTTTAMTTAGTAGACAAACGTAGATATAAAAATTCATATTTTAGAATAATTATGAAATAACCACGGAGGAAAGTGATGAATCACTAAATCAATCACTCTGGCTATATCATTGTTATTTCAAAAATAATAAGTAATATTTATCAAACTTCTTTTTTTAGGTTCCTTATATATAATCAAAGCTACAGGAAACAGCTTATAGGTATATAATAAAAAAAAAAAAAATGTTGTCAATATATTTTCCCTTATATTGTTAATCTAAAAGTACAATTAAAACAACAAAAAAAAAACAGTCTCCATCATAACTAAATTTATACAAAACATACCTATTTTAAATCACCATTTAATAAAATTATTATGCTTTACAAGGTTTTGTACACAATCATTATAAAAACTATTCTTTATATTAACTATGATATAAATAGATAAATGGTACCACAATAATTAATATATATGAACAAGGGAAGGTGAATTTGGCATTTGATGAAATAAATAGGTGGATTATTAATRAAAAAAAAATCACAACATTGTTTAAGTTATTTTATAACATTTTTAAGCGTGAACTAATGTTGTTGAATAAAGAAAATAATGATACTTTCACTTACTGTAAATAACAGTTTAGGTATTAGGTTAATGGTATTGGTCCATTCACTTGAGTTATGCACACAATATTTACAAATTACAATATACAAACATAAATGTCTTAAATACATCTTAATAACAATATGAGGTGTTTAAACAACAGTTATCAAATTAGTTATGACAAAAAAAAAAATTGTACATATTATCATTTTTTGTAAGGCTCATTACAAAATAATTTAATTATCTCATTGCTGAATGCTGACTAAATAAAACAAGCCATAATACTTTTGCAATAAGAATTTGTTTTAAAAAAACATACAAAATATACATATATGTGTGAATATGTCAATATYAAAATGGTATCTTCTACTACCCAACATTAACTTGCGCAGAAATAAAGCTTTTAATAATATTTATATCATTTTAGGTATTATTGGAAATAAGGTAACTTTACAAATTTATGGCCAACTAGGCTCTACTTTTAGTATTCAGAAAGACATTGAGCGAATTGAAAGTTTTCTTTTAAATAATAACATCAATAAATCTAATTTTTAATAATTAATAAAATAATAACAAAAGTTTGATACCATGTTTAAACAATAATTATGTATTAGAATTAATCAAAAATGTTCATCTTAATGATTGATTAGAAAAACAAACTTCAAATACCTATTTTTTAAACAATGTTTCAAAATGTGATGCAGAAATTTTTTTGATGATTTAACAAATATAAGTAAATAACAAATCAATGAATGGTACACTATATTTATAAGAGTTTATTTGTTGTCGAATAAACTATATATTAAATACAATATACATAAGTATTTATAATATTGTTCGTGTTTGTTATATCTACAAAAATGAACTATTCATACTGTATTCATTAAATGTTAAGTCAGACTGGAAATTTATACTTTGGACTAGAAACACAATATAGGTTTGCTAATTGGTAGTTACCAAAACAATTTTGTGGAAAAAGTGAAATGACAAGAATTAAACTTTGTTCTGAAATCGCAATTAATCATCAGTTACCTACTCATTTAATAGACAACTGTAAACAATACATCAGCTTTTATGTGAACAACTTATAAACAGCCTAATAACAATTTTATAAAAAGGAACCAAATATTAAATATAATTTTAGACAGACCATGATAAAAGTAAAAATTTCAACACAGTCTAAACTTGGGGCTCCTGGAAGACTCTTCGTCTGATTCATAATAGTACCTCTGTTTGGGAGAAAGTCCAATCTGCAGTCGTCGAACTGCTTCTTTGATGAGACTGCCCTCCCGCAACAATGCTTGCAGCATTTCATAAGGGTCATCGTTGGCCTGGTCTTCGTCGTCGTCGTCGCACCGACACGGTCGTCGGGCGGCACAAGAGTCACAAGCCGCCGGCCTGGTCGTGTAGGGTTTCACCCGGGCAAAGTGGGTGGTGCGATTACGCCTCGACTTGAACCCCGATAACCTTAGGTTCTCTTTAATCTCAGACACTAGATGTTCTACGTCCAAAGACAACAATTTGGGCTTTTCGGCGGCCGCCGCTGCTGCTGCAGACGTCATCACGTCCCTGCTGGGCATAGTGTCACACATACTTACGGGAAACGTYGTGTCGTCGTACGCCAATCAATTGAGTGAACGCATCAGAACGACGTTTTGGATTTAGAGACTATTATTTTACCGACCGACGGGCGCAATGATAACCGCAGCGACGGAAAAGGGCGTTTGTTAGTCGCCAGAACGGAAAGCTACCTGTGTAGGTGCTACGTGTGACTGTTATTATTAATATTATTACTATTATCAAAATGTACAACACTATAATAGTTTTACGTGTCGTACGGGTGACCACCACGGAGGAGAACAGTACGAACTACGAATTACGGATTAACCGGCACCGACGTCGGTGTGTGTGTGTGTTGTGACGTGTGTGTCTTTCTCGAAATGGATTGTGGCGACACACGTCCGCGGGGTAGGGGTAAAGGCACGCACGCACGCACGCACGTACGCCAACAGACGAGGCGGCAACAACTCTCGTGTTATTGTTTTGGTGCCAATGTTCGCAGACAAAACATCAAACGAACAACGTTGCGTGCGGGCAGGCGCCGCGGCAACCGACGAAAATATTATTATGTGCACAAATAGGTAGGTACGCGGTGATCACGCGTTTTTCGCAATTACCGACGTTCTCCCGGCGATAATCGTCTCTTACGGTGACGGCGAATCACTTTGATATAATATTTCTGTMCCGTTGGCCGTTTTCACAAATGAAACAATATTTAATGGAACGACGAAAATGTTTTCAATTGATCAATGCGTTCGGTTTGCGAACGTCGCACGACGGGTATCTGCGTGTGGTGCTGCTTAGTGCTGGTTGGCGTCTGGCGAGACACAGCGAACAGTGAATGGTGCAGTGGTGCCCGCTGCCTGGTGGTGGTGCTGCTGGTGGTCTGGTGCTGCACTGCCTGCACTGCTGCTGTTGCGATGCGGGCAAAGACGACCGAAAGGCGGGTGGTGGGTACACGTATGGGGCCAAGGTTATTTCGTCAGCCAACACGGCCCGACAAACACCACCGGCGGCGGGAGAAACGTAAACACAGCGGCGGCTG